AATATTGTTATTTATGAAAATAATTGACTTCCTTTCGAATAATTTAATTATTTATGAAACTAATTAAATCGCTGAAAGGAATTTTAAAATTTATGAAAATAATTGAATTACTACGAAGACTTTAATGCAAAATTTTAAAACATTTGATTTTTTCGGAAAAATTGATGCAAATACTATTTTAAATAATTGAATTCCTGTGAAATTTTTATTTTTTTTTTTGGAAAATAATTTAATGTTCGTGTAGAATTTTATCAAAATTTTTGTTTAATAATTGAATTGTTTTTGGAAATTTTACTAAAATAGCAGAATATTTAAAATCATTGAATTAAGAAAATTTTTTGGAAATAATTGAATTTTTGCAACGAATTTTATTAAATAAAAAGTGAAAATTAACGATTTTATTAAAATTCCTGAAAATAATTGAATTTTATCGGAGAATTTTGCTATTCATTTATAAAAATAATTGAAATGTTGACAATTTTTTTAAAATTTTTCGAAAATAATTGAATTTCTGCGAAGAATTTTGTTAATTTTATACATAATTGAATAATTAATTATTTTCTACTAATAATTAAATATTTATTTACTAATGATTAGTTATTTCTTAACAATAATTAGAATTTATTTGTCTTAAATAAATATTATTTGATTCAAGTATAAATATTTATTTTATATTAATAAACATTTAATTGCTTCTTTCAATCAAATTTTTTTTAGTGTAATTTAAAGTTTAAATAGAAAATTATTTTATTTTAACAAAAAGTTGGTTATGAATTTAAAACTGAAAAGTTATTCAAATAAGTTGTAATCTACAAGATATGATACTGCAACTAAAATAGAAATGTTCATTACAAATTTAAATTTCTTCATGAATTAGACAATGTCTATGATTATTTTTAATAAATTATAAAATAAAGTAATGGAAATAAGTTAAAACTAACAAAATTAAAATTCACAAAAATAAAACTAATTTAAATAAAAATTATAAAAGGAAAAAATAAGGAAACAATATACACTTCAGTCGTATTTGAACACTAAGCAAAAAAAATAATCAACTTCTTTGTCAATTTTCAAAGTAAATAAAAAATGTTCCTCTGGATTATAATTCCAATCACTATTATTATTTCTTATGGAATTTATTCATATCTTTTGCGAAAAGTGGAATTATTCAAAAAATCAGGTGTACCGTGCCTAAAACCATGGCCAATTATAGGAAACATGGGACCGATATTAATGAAAAAAATGTCCCTCGGGCATTTATTGAAGAAACTCTATTTTCTCAATACAAAAGCAAAATATGTGGGATATTTTGAATTCACAACGCCAATAATTGTAGTGCGTGATCCAGAAATTATAAAATCAATAGGAACAAAAAATTACGATAATTTCTACAATCGTCGAGGATTTGCTGAGAAAGCTGACAATCTATTACTCGGAAACGATATATTTTCCTTAAAAAACGAATCTTGGCGGGAAATGAACAAAATTCTCAGTCCTTCATTCACTCTAAATAAATTTAAACAACTTTACGAATTAATTGCAACAAAAACACAAGATTCTGTGGAGTATATTCACAAAAAAGGAGAAACCGAAACACGAATGAAGAGTTTATTTCAAAAACTAATCTTTGACATTATTTTTTCTTTCGCTTTCGGTATTTCCACAAATTTCATCAAGAACGAAGGTATCAAGAAACTTAGTGCCAAACTCAAAGGAATTAATCCAGAATATATCGAGAAACTCAAACTCTTTAAAACCAACTATCCTTCTATATTTAAAATACTACGTTACAAATATTTCAACGACGAACAAAGAGAATATTTCCAAAACATAATAAATCTTCGAATAAATGATAGAAAACAGGAAACAAATATGATTGATCTGATGATGAATAAAAATTTATCAATGGATCAAATAGCAGGACAAATATTCACAATGTTTGGCGGTGGTTTCAATTTATCCGATTCATTATCATACATTTCCTACTACATTGCAGTGAATTCCAATGTGCAAATAAAATTACAACAAGAAATTGATAAACTTTCATCCAACTATAATAAAAATGCAATTCATAAAACATTCAAAAGTAGTGAATATTCAAAGATGATTTTCGACGATATTATGAATTTGAAATATTTGGATGCCGTTTTCAAAGAAGCAATGAGATTACAAACACAAATTGTATCACTCGAAAGAATTTGCTCTAAACCCTTTGAATTGCCCCCCTCATTGCCTGGTTTAAGTCCATTCACTCTAAAACCCGGAATGATTATTTCAATTCCAATAGAATCCATTCATCGTGATTCAAAGTATTTCGAAAAGCCAGACAAATTTAATCCCGATCGATTTTATAATATAAATGATAAAACAATTTTCAATTCATATACATATCTTCCATTTGGCGTGGGACCGAGACATTGTATTGCAAATAGATTTTCAACACAGACAATGAAAATTATCATATTTTTCATTTTAGCAAATTTCAATCTTAAAACATGTTCAAAAACACAAATTCCATTGAAAATTAATAAAAGAAAATTAACGAAAATTCCTGATAAAAGTATTATATTAAAAATTGAGAAACGAATTAAATGTATGGACCATGAATAAAATAATAATAATAAAAATAATATTTTTTATAATAATCATTACTATTTAAATATATTTATTTCTATCATTTTCTAATATCACTTTTTAATCACTTTTTTCAATTCAATTTTTTTATTTGAAAATTTGTTTATTTTTCCAATTTCAGATCATAATTTTATCATAACTTTTTTATATTCTTTACTTTTTGTATATTAAAATTATAATTTGAAAGTGGTCAGAAAAGTAAACAATAGAATTTTCAAATAAAAAATTAAATAACAGTATTTTTGCATTTTCAGCCTAAATAAATTATTGAATTTCCAATAGTAAAAATATAAATTTAAAAACTTATTATATTAATTTATTATTTATTTATTTTATAAAAATTACAGTTGTAATTTTTGGAAATAGTTAAAATTAAAATGGTTGTACATTATTACAAATATTGTGTAAGAGCAAATAATAATAAGTATTAAAATATTTATTTAACAATAAATACTTTTGGACAATGCAAAATTTTCAAAAAATACTAATTTGCTTTTAAAGAACAGAAACATAATTAAACATTTATAATCTTTAAAATTTATTTTTTAATACGTGACGCAATAATATTGCAATAAAATTTTAATTTGAAGAAGAAATAAATAAATTTCGTTTAATTGAACATGCAGAAATTCAAATATTGTTACTTAAAAATTATTACTACCTTGATCATCAATTTATAAAATAAAATAATAATATAGAAAAATAAAAATTTGAATGTAAACAAAAAATATATTCTTTTCGCAAAAACAATTTTTTTCTTTCAATCCTTAGATCGTAAACGTTAAGGAAAATTATTTTTTTCCTTGAACTGAAATTCATAATATGCTAAATTTTATAATTAGTTCTATCTGATAAATAATAAATTATTGTTAAATTAATTATATATCTAATAAATAATAAATTATTGTAAAAATTACAAAATTTTACAAATTAATGTAAATTTATTTTGATGAATGCCATGCCGATAATAAATAATGTATCGCTTATTTAAAAGTATAAAACTGAAAGTGTCTTATCGACGAAATTCATTTGTCTTTATGACAAAAGAATTATTTTCAATACAATTTAAATTAAATTTCTCGAAAAAATCAATTATTTTCGAAAATTTTAATTTAAATTCTTAGCACGATTTCAATTATTTTCATAATTTATAAAATATTTTTCATGAATTTAATAATTTTAAAGAATTTTAATAAAATTCTTCGAAAAGTGTTATTATTTTGATAATTTTTAGTAACATTCTGTATAAGAATACACTTATTTTTAAAGATTTTAATTAGATTTCTCACAAGAAAAATTATTTTCGATAAATGTCTTTATAAGAATTTAATTATTTACAGATTCAAACTTATAAAAGAAATAAATGAGAATTAATAATATATAAAAGAAATATTTTTAATTGAAAACAATTTGGTTCAAATGCCCTTAATTTTTAGTATTTTTTAATCTTCAAATCATTAAATTAGAATTTCATTAATTTTAAAATTCAAAACACTAAAAAGAAAAATTATCAAAAAACTTATAACAACACTTTTACTAATTTTTTGTGAAATTCTACTAATAATTAGTAAAATTTTACTGATTGCTAGTAAAATTTATAAATAAATAAAATTATTACTAAATCATTTGGTCTATTTACATTTTTTCTATTTTTTCGTAAAAAAAATTTAAATAGAAAAATATTCTATAAACTAACTCGTTAATTATAAAAGCTATGAACTTTACCAATATCGAACTTACTTATTATTAATACATCAAAGAAATGTCTTTTAAATTAAAAAAAACCGATAATTTTTCTTTTTTACTTTTTTCCGCGAAAAAAGAATGCGAAAGAAAAATATCTTTTAAATTAATAGTAAGCAAAACTCGATATTTTTAACGATCTTTTCTGCAAATTGGACGCGAGTGAAACGAACATGAACGTGATAATTCACAAACTAATTTTTTTTCTATTCTTATTCGTTATAGTATCCCCAGAATTTATATATATAAATTCATAGATACTTAATTATAAACGAGTTATTTTTAACTATAAAAACAATAGCCATTCCAGGTTTTTAAAATATATTTTAACAAAATTAGAATTATTCGTGAAATATTTAATTTATGAAAGAAAAATAAAAGAACTATAATTTATTAAAATCGGAAAAAATACTCGTAATTGCTTAACATAAATGAAAAATAGAAAGAATGCATTAAATAAATTATTTCAGTCATTTTCGAGCATTGTCGCTTTACGTATTTAAAAAATAGTGCCGACGTTTCAAACAAAATTTCTTTTTAATTTCAAAAAAATTTGTAAAGAAATATTGGCCATTGAAAATATAATTAAAATAACCGAAATTTAATAAATTTAATAAATTTATAATATTTAGTAATATAGAATATTATATTTTAAATAATAAAGAATTTTCAAAAAATCGTTGATGCAAAGAACGCAACAGTATGTCTTTCTGGAACACAATTTTCTTATTTTTTATCTGCTGCTTCATAATTTACGTTTATTTTCAAAACCAAATGAATTTATTTAAAAAAGCAGGAATTCCACACCTGAAACCATGGCCCATTGTTGGCAACTTCTTACCAATATTATTGAAGAAAACAACAATAGCTGAATTTATAATGAATCTATATAATTTAAATCCAAATGCGAAATATGTAGGATTTTACGAATACGGAAGACCAATAATTTTATTACGTGATCCAGAAATTATGAAATTAGTTGCAATGAAACGTGAGATATTTCCAAATCGAAGAGGTTTTGATCTTGGCAATAATGACTCAGTGATGGGAAAAGAACTTTTTTCTGCAAAATATGAAAAGTGGCAGGAAATGCGAAAGACAGTTTCACCTGCATTCACACCGAGAAAATTGAAAATGACAATGTCAATAATATCACAGAAGACGAAAATATTTTTAGATCATATTCTTCAGTTGAATGAAGCAGTAGAAATAGACACTCTCAAATGGATTCAGAAATACATTATTGATTTCACACATGCAAATACTTATGGTATTGAAACTACAACTGTCACTGACAACACTGAAGATTTTTACAATTTTTGCTTCGATGCAGCAAATTTGGAAAAAATAGAAAAACGTAAGCAATTTCAATTAATGTCATCATTTTTATGGAACATCTTCAAAATGAGTTATATCGACGATAAAGTTTTGGAATACTTTCGAAATATCGTTAAACATTCAATAGCTCGAAGAAAAAATGAAAATTATTTACCAGAAACTATAATCGATCTAATAATAGATTCCTCAATTCATAACAAAAAAACTATCGAAGAACTTACAGCAGAAGTATATCTATTATTCGCAGCTGCTTTTGACTCAACTTCATCAACGTTAACATACTTTTGCTATTACCTAGCAGTTAATAACCACATTCAGGAGAAAATACGAGAAGAAATTTTTTCCCTTCAAGAAAACGTTAAAAGAACAAATACAACATTTAAAGAAACATCCAATCATAAATTTTCAGATGTCGATTTAAATTCTTTTCAACCAACACTGGAAGATCTCGATAATCTCAAATATTTAGACGCAACAATTAAAGAGACACTGAGAGTTCATTCACTATTACCAGTTGAAAGAGAATCAGTGACAAATTTTCAACTACCACCAGCATTACCTGGTCTAAAATCATTCACCATTGAAGCTGGAACACTAGTTTTAATTCCAATCGAACCTGTTTGTAAGGACCCTCAATATTTTGAAGAACCGGACAAATTCAAACCCGAAAGATTTTTCGACGAGAAAAATTTTGTTTCTACATTAGCATTTGGAGTGGGTCATCGCAAATGTATTGGCAACAGATTGGTTCCACTGCTTGTGAAATTATTTACTTATCACACTTTAATTAGATGTAATATTAGAACATGTGAAAAAACTCCAATTCCATTGAATGTGAGTAATAATAAGTTTACTAAAACACCGGAAAAAAAGATTTGGTTGAGAATAGAAAAAAGAAAAGTTCAAGGAGATGAGATTTAAAGAATTTAGTCTAAATTTAGGATAATATTTAGGCTAAAAAATATTATAGACTGTATTAAAAAATGATAATAAATTATAAGTAAAATCTTGGCACAATGTCCATAATAATCAACAAAAAAAATGTTTCAATAAATATATTACTCAAAGATGTAAAAAGAAGAGAGATGTTTATTTATTTTTCAACATTTAAATTTTAAATTGTGGGCAATTGACACCAAACCCTTAATAATTGTTGTATATTTGTTAAAAGTACACTGAAAAAATTTTTTTGTTTCAACTAACCGATTACTTGACTATTATCAAATTTTAATATTTACTTGAATCAAATAAAAATTATTTGAGTCAACTAAACGTTATTTGCTTTAAACACTGAAAGTATTGGTTCAAAAATACCATTTGATTTAAATAAAAATTATTTATTTTAAGTAAATATTTATTTGATATAATAAACAAATAATCAGTTATTTGAATCAAATGCATTTTTTTCAATTAGTCGAATACCTACGTTAAACCAATTTTTTTTTGTAAGAAAGAATAAAATTAATATTATTTAGTAATTTAAATTTTCTTTAATTCTAAATTTTTAATTTTAAATTTCATAAAAAACATTCCTATTAAAAATTACCTTAAATGTTAAAACAGTTTTAATAATAAAATACTATTAACTAATTTAATAAATTGAAATAAAATTATTTGATTCAAATAAATATTTATTCGATAAATTACTAATTATTAAAACTTTTCTGAAGTTTATTATTAACTTCCACTTATATATTTTTAATTATTACTAACTAGTAAATGTATTTGATTTCATTTACTATATTATTATGCAAATTAAAAAAGTTTTTTATTTCCAAGTATTCAATTTTGGAATAATTTCAGATTAAAAATTTTAAAAAATTCAATTGTTTACAAATTTACCAATTAATTATTATTATTTATTGTTTTAAAACTTTATTAAATTATTCGCAGGAATTCAATTATTTTTAATACAATTTAAAAAAAAATTTCTCAAAAAAAGGTAAATTATTTGTTAAAATTTCATAAAATTCTCGGGAAAATTAAATTATTGTGAAAAATGTTGATTAAATTCTTTATGAGAATTGGAATATTTTCAATACAATTTTAATTAAATTCCTCGATAAAAATAAATTACTTTCGAAAATTTTAATAAAATTCTTGGCACGATTTCAATTATTTTCATAATTCATTAAATATTGTTCATGAATGTAATTATTTTAATGAATCTTAATAAAATTCTTTGCAAAAATGACATTATTTAGAAAATTATTGGTAAAATTCTTTATAAGAATACACTTATTTTTATTAAAATTTTAATAAAATTCTTAACAAAATTTCAATTATCTTTATAATTAATAAAATTTTTTGAAAGAATTCAATTATTTTTATAATTAATAAAATTTCTCGAAAGAATTCAATTCTTTTCAAAAATTTTGCTTAAACTCTTTATAAGAATTTAAATATTTTTAATATTATTTTAATTAGATTTCTCGTAAGAATTAACTTATTTTTAAAGATTTTAATTGGATTTCTCACAAGAAAAATTATTTTTGATAGATTTCTTTATAAGAATTCAATTATTTATAGATTCAATCTTATACCTATAGGAAATTAATAAGAATTAATATACAAAAGAAATAATTTTAATTTTAATTGAAAACAATTTGGTTCAAATGCCTATTTTTTAATCTTCAAATCATTAAATTAGAATTTTATTAATTTTAAAATTCAAAAAAATAAAAAAAAATGATCAAAAAAACTGAGAAACAACAGTTCTACTAACTTTTTGTGAAATTCTACTAAAAATTAGTAAAATTTCACTAATTATTAATAAAATTCTACCAACAATTAGTAAAATTTTACTAATTGCTAGTAAAATTATTACTAAATCATTTAGTGGACAACTTTTTGTCATTTTCTTAACAATAACTATGAACTAATTCCGATTTAGAAAGAGTTTAAGCAAAAAAAATGGTTTTATAAATAAATATCAGTAGGTATTAAAGTCGATAAAATAATTCAGTAAATTAGATTTAGTGAATTCTAGATAACGAGCAACTAGTGAAATTCTACATTGAAAAAAATGAAATAAAATTAGTAAAATTTTACTAGTTAACAATTAATAATAAAAAATTTCCGAACATTCAAATAAATGAAATTTATTTCTTTCGTTTTCAAATTCAAATCAAATTATCATAAAATGCACTGCGAAAAAAATTTATGTCATTCAGATAACCGATTACTTCCAACGTGAAAAAGTTATTTTAACGTATGCTTTTGTGGCAATATTTAATGTATGGCTAATTTAAAAGTATAAAACTGAAGGTTTCTTATCGAAGAAATAAATTCTTCTATAAAAAAAGCGAAAATAAAATAATTTAGTCATATTTGAGAATGGTTATATAATTATAATTAATAATTAATATTATTAATAATTATTAATAATAATTAATAATAATTAACAATAATTAACAATAATTAATAATAATTAATAGTAATTGATACCTAATAATAATTATTATTATTATTCATTATTATCGATATTATTCTTTGAATTATTTGAAATTATTATTTATCTTTTAGAATATAGGTACATATCAAAAAAGTATTTCACTTTTGAATTCACTTGTCATTGATTTATCAAAAAAATGTCATTTGTATTAAATAAAAACTTTGGATTAATTTAAAAAAAGTCTCCTTTAATTTTTTTTCCTTTTTTAATCATTTTTCTTCAAAAATATGATGTAAAAGAAAGAAAGAAATCTTTTTTTAATTAATTGCCAACAAAGCTTGATATTTTTAACGCTAATTTATGCAAACCAACATAAAAAAGGATAATTTACAATCTAATTTTGTTTCAATAATTTTTAAAATCTATTTTTAATTTTAAATTAAAATTATTGGTGAAATATGAAATGTATGAGTTGAAAAATATGAGAATTATAATTTATTTAAATCAAAAAATTTCTCGTAGTTTCTTATCTCAAATTAAAAATAGAAAGAATGCATTAAATAAATTATTTCAGTCATTTTTGAGCATTGTCACTTTACACACTTAAAAAGTAGTGCATACGTTTCAAATAAAATTTCTTTTTAATTTCAAAAATTTGTAAAGAAATATTGGGTATCCGAAATATTACTATATTTATTAATTCATTATATTATAGTTTAAATATTTATAAATTGTTTTAAAAATCATTTATCCAAAGAACAACAGAATGTCTTTCTGGAACACAATTTTCTTATTTTTCATCTGCTGCTTCATAATTTACATTTATTTTCAAAAACAAATGAATTTATTTCAAAAAGCAGGAATTCCACACATAAAGCCATGGCCCATTGTTGGCAACTTCTTACCAGTATTATTGAGAAAAATAACAATAGCTGAATTTATGATGAATTTATATCATTTAAATCCAAATGCGAAATATGTTGGATTTTATGAATATCGAAGACCAATAATTTTAATACGTGATCCAGAAATAATAAAATTAATAACAATGAAACATGAAATATTTCCAAATCGAAGAGGTTTTGATCTTGGCAATAATGATTCAGTGATGGGAAAGGAAATTTTTTCTGCAAAATATGAAAAGTGGCAGGAAATGCGAAAGACAGTTTCACCTGCATTCACACCGAGAAAATTGAAAATGACAATGTCAATAATATCACAGAAGACGAAAATATTTTTAGATCATATTCTCAAGAAGAGTGATGTACAAGATTTTGATGCTCTTAAATGGATTCAAAAATACTTTATTGACTTTACACATGCAACTGCCTATGGTGTTGAAACAACAAGTGTCACTACTGATGACACTGACGTTTTTTTAAATTTTTGTTTGGATGCAGCAAATTTGGAAAAAATAGAAAAACGTAAGCAATTTCAATTAATGTCATCATTTTTATGGAACATCTTTAGAATGAGTTACGTCGATGATAAAGTTTTGGAATATTTTCGAAATATCGTTAAACAGTCAATGGCTAAAAGAGAGAATGTAAACTTCATACCAGAGACAATAGTCGACCTAATAATAGATTCGGGAATTGTTAATAATAAAACAATGGAAGAACTTACAGCAGAGACATATGTATTATTAATAGCCGGATTGGATAACTCTTCGTCAATGTTAACCTACGTTTGCTATTATTTGGCAGTTCATTACGATATCCAGGAGAAAGTTCGAGAAGAAATTTTGTCACTTCAAGAAAAATTCAAAGAAACATCCAATCAAACAACATTCTCAGATGACGATTTAATTTATTTTCAACTAAAAATGGAAGATCTCGAAAATCTCAAATATTTAGACTCTGCAATTAAGGAGTCGCTGAGACTTCATTCACTATTGCCAGTAGAAAGAGAATCGGTGACAAATTTTCAACTTCCACCAGCATTACCTGGTCTAAAATCATTCACCATTGAAGCTGGAACGTTAGTTTTAATTCCAATCGAACCTATTTGTAAGGATCCTCAACATTTCGAAGAACCAGAAAAATTCAAACCCGAGAGATTTATCGAAAAAAAGCATTTCTTTTCTACATTACCATTTGGAATTGGTCATCGTAAATGTACGGGATACAGATTGGCTCTATTGGTTATGAAATTATTCATTTCTCACATGCTAATTAGATGTAATCTTAAAACATGTGCAAAAACTCCAATTCCATTGAAAGTGAGTAATAATATGTATACTAGGATTCTGGAAGACAGGATCTGGCTGAGAGTAGAAAAAAGAAAAGTTCAAGGAGATGAGATTTAGAATAATTCTGTTTGATAGAAAAAAATGTAAACAAATATAATAATGTTGTAAATATTCAAACAAATACGTTTTCTTTTCTGTAAATTTACATTTGCTGTAAACTCTATCTAATTTATAATTTAATTTTCTAAATTTGTATTAATAAAAAATAACTAATTATTAGTTAAATCTTGGCTGATGACTTTTCTATTCCGTCAATTACTCCGTAAATTTGAATTAATAAAAATATTTACTAATTAAAAATTAAAATTAGTGGCTGACTTTTTGCTTTTAAATCGCAGTAAATTTTACTAATAAATAGTAATTTCTACTAATTTATTAGTAAAATTTACTAATTCGAAAGCAAAAAGTCTGTCACTAATTCAAATTAGTAAACATTTTTACAAACTAAAATTTAGAGCGAATAAAAATTATTTGATTCAACAGAGTTGCCACAAAAAATTTAATTTTGTTTTTCCCTGATTTCCAGACAAAATTTTAACTTTTTCCCTGACCCTAAAGAATATTCTGATTCACTCTAAAAATGATTAGCTCCTCAAAAAAATATTCTATTACATTTATTTACGAATTTATTTAATTGTAAAATTATTCAAAAACATAAGACTTCTTTTTTAAATAAATATTTAATCATTATTATTTTTTCATAGAAATTATAATTTTCAAAAATTTGAAATTCAACAACTTGTAAGAATATTATTACAAAACATGAAGATATTGATCTTTATTTATTATTTTTAGCACTTCATTTCAATTATTATTTTCTACAATTTTTAACTAAAAATCTTTTTTAAATCAAGAATTTATCATAATTTTCGAAAAACTTTTTTCAGAATTTTCAAATCCATTTGTTTACAATTCAATTATACCTGAAATTTCGATTATTCGGAAATTCTTCAATTAAATATACATTAGAAAATAAAAACTTGAAATAATTTTTAAAAAATTTCGATTAAGCTTTTTGAAAAAAATTAGTTCCATAGAATTTTAAATTAAATTTAAAAATTAAATTAAAAGTATGAAAAATTTAAACTGTCAAAGATTTTAATTTAAAATCTTTACAAAATTCAATTATTTCTAAAAAAAATTACAATTATTAGTAACTTCTCCAACATTCAATTATGCATATCTCAAACTTTAAGTGAAATTAATTTTTAAATTAATTTTTATTAGACAATTCTACGAGAATTCAATTATTTACACAGAAAAATAATTATTTTTTTGAATAATTGAATAAAATTGAATTTTTATAAAGAATTTTATTAACTAAATTTTCAAATAATTGAATTCTTTCGCGACGATTTTTAATAAAATCTTAAAAAAGAATAATAATTGCATTTTTCGAGGAATTCGATTAAAATTGTATTAAAAATGATAATGAGTTTTATTATTTATGAAAAGAATTGAATTATTGAGACGAATTTTAGAAAAAAAAGTTTCAAACAATTGATTTTTTTCGAAAAAATTTATAGAAATTCCATTTTTAATAATTGAATTCCTGAGAAATTTTTATTATTTCAGAAAATAATTGAATACCTATTTATGTGGAATTTTATCAAAATTTTTGTTTAATAATTGAATTCTTTTGGCAAATTTTGTTAAATAAAATATTGAAAATCGTTGAATTAAGACAAATTTTTGAAAATAATTGAAATTTTACCATGAATTTTACTACTTTTGAAAATAATTGAATTTTGCAATGAATTTTATTAAAATTTCTGAAAATAATTGAATTTTGTCGAAGAATTTTACTAGTTTTGAAAATAATTGAATTTTTGTGATGAATATTATTATTTATGATATTAATTTAATTTTGCAATGAATTTTTATTAAATTTCTGAAAATAATTGAATTTTGTCGAAGAATTTTACTACTTTTGAAAATAATTGAATGTTGTCGAAGAATTTTGCTATTCATTTATAAAGATAATTGAAATGTTGACAATTTTTTTTTAGATTTTTCGAAAATAATTGAATTTCTCCGAAGAATTTTATTTATTTTGAAAATAATTGAATGCTTGTGATGAATATTGCTATTTGTGAAAATAATTGAATTTTACAATGAATTTTATTAAAATTCCTGAATATAATTGAATTTCAGTATGAAGAATTTTAATATTTGTAAAAATAATTAAAATATTGAGAATTTTTTAAAAAAATTTTTAAAAATAATTAAATTTCTCGAAAGAGTATTAATAATTATTAAGATAGTTGAATTCTTTTAAAGAATTTCGTTAAAATTTTTAAAATTGCAACTATTTTCAACAAAATTGATATTAAATTTTTTCAAAAAAAAAATACTTCATTAAATGATTTATCAATAACTTTATGGCAGTTCTTCAATAGAATTAAGTTATTTAAAATAAATTATTGTTAGAAATAGAAAAAATTTAAGGATTTTTTTAGAATCAAATAAATTTTTCCCCAGTGCAATTTTCAATAGATATTTGCATTTCTCAATTATATTCACACACACACACTCACATACACCAAAAATATTAAAATTTCCAACTATTTTTGAAAAATAAATTCAAAAAACATTTTGATATTCAATGGAACGGTATTAGAATAATAGGATGCTTTCGATCTTATCTAAAGAATTTGAAATAGAAAAAAAACCTATTTCTTTCTGGCCATAAGCCATGCAAATCTCAACTAAACACGGACAGTCCAGTTCATGTAAGGTCCAGAGTTCCTTAACCCCAGGAGTTAGTTATAAACCTCTACCTTCGGTTCTGTCCAAAGCAAGCGAGTTTATCGATCCAAAAAAGATTTACGTCGACGCCTATCGTCGACTAGAACTATAGGGTCCGCGGAAGGGGGGCGAAAAGGGACATGGGGGGGTAATAAATTAGAATGCAGAGGGTGGACGCTTTGACTCTCTCAGGTAATTGCATCGGTGCATCCCCTGTAATTAACGCACTCACATGACCAGCTTTTACTCTATTCTAACTCTCAAGTTTCCTTTTTAAGAAATTTTCTTATTGTCGTGTGGAATTTTTCGATTTTTGTAAACATAAAATAATCGAGTAATTAAATCTTTGCACTGAATTTGCAGAGAAACTTGCGTTCTTTTTCAGTTTTAATCATTCAAATGCAGAGATGTTGATTTTTTTAATTTAAATAAAATTTTTTTTCTCAACTTATAAGAATATTTATTATAAAACATGAAGAAAGTGATCACTCCGAGTCGAAGACTCGGAGTAATCACTGTCTTTATGTTTTTTAACAATTAAAGTTCACCAAGTGATAAAATCATTCTTTTATATTATAAAAAATTTTTATATTATTTATTTTCAAAATTATTTTTATCATTTTAATTTAAATATTATTTTCTAGAATTTTCAATTAAAATTCTTCTAAAAAATCAATTATTTTTGATAATTATTTGAAAAAGTTCTTTGAAAATATTCAAATCCATTTATTAACAATTCACTTTTACGAAATATCCCTTAAATACGAAAATTCTTCAATAATTAAAAATAAATTATAAAAAATAAAAACTTCAAAAAATTTCAAAACAAAATCCAATTAAACTTTTTAAAAAAAATTAATTTTACAGAATTGTTAGTTAAAAGTATGAAAAATTCAGATTTTCAAATATTTTAATTTAAAACCTTTTTTCAAAATTCAATTATTTCCAAAAATTCACGCTTTACCTAATGCTTTTATTATTCAATTATTATCTAAAATTTGAACTAAAATTTATTTTTAAATCAATTTTTATTAGAAAATTCTGCGATGAGTTTCACTATTTATAAAAAATAGTTAAATTGCTATAAAGAGAATTTTATTATTTATAAAAATAATTAAATCCTTAAGAAGAATTTAAATACTTTTAAAACTAATTGAATTCTTGTGATGAGTATTGTTATTTATGAAAATAATTGAATTTTGCAAAGAATTTTATTAAAATTCCTGAAAATAATTGAATTTTTTGGAAGAATTTTAATACTTTTGAAAATAATTGAATTCTTGCCATAAATATTATTATTTTTGAAAATAATTGAATTTTGCAAAGAATTCTATTAAAATTTCTGTGAATAATTGAATTTCTAGGAAGAATTTTGTTATTTATCGAGGTAATTGAATTCTTTCGAAGATTTGCGTTAAAACTTTTGAAATAATAAAATATAATTATGAAAATTCAACCAATTTCAATAGAGATGGAATTAAAATTTTTCAAAATAGTTATTTATGATACAAGTGCGTAAAATCGTTGATTATACGAGTGTGACGTTTGCAGCTCGAGCCGAAGGCGAGTGCTGCAAGTCACACAAGTATAATCTGATTTACGCACGAGTGTCATACAAAATTTTTTGCAACACTAAAACAACTAAACTTGCAGCAATATTGCTAATATTACTGCAACTTTAGGTGTAGTGGGGAACTGTTAAATGAAGTATTCTAGAAGCTAAAATAAAAAAATGTGATTGTAAATTGTTAATTAAAAGCATTATTTCATTGTTTCTCATCAAACAGTCACAAGAATGCGTAAAGTAACCTTTTTACGCACTGAAAATCACTTTACACACTGGAATTCACTTTACACACTGCTAGCGGTGTGTAAAGTAACACTTTACACACCGCTATAAAAAGAAGTACTTTACACACAGTTTTCTGTGTGTAAAATTCAATTTTACAGGTTAGTGTTGCAAAAAAAAATTAGTTCTATAGAATTATTAGTTAAAAATATGTAAAATTCAGAGTTTCCAAAAAAATTGAATTTGAAACCTTTTCAAAATCCAATTATTTCTAAAAATTACTATTATTTGTAATTTCTCCAAAATTCAATTATTTTCTTCGAGTTTTAACCAAAATTCTTCTCTAAATCAAATTTATTGAATAATTAAATGTTTCCCAAAATTGAATTCTCATAAAGAATTTTATCAAAAAATTTTTAAATAATTGAATTTTTTGGCGAATTTTAATAAAATTTTTAAAAATAATTACATTTTTCGAGGAATTTGATTAAAATTGTATTAAAAATAATTGAAATTCTGCGATGAGTTTTATTATTTATGTAGATAATTGAATTATTACGAAGAAATTTATAAAAAATTTGTAAATAATTGAATTTCTACGGAAGTTTTATTATTTATGAAATTAATTAAATGTTGCGGAGAATTTTATTAAATTTTTTTTTTAAATAACTGAATTCTTTTGGAAAATTTTATTAAATTAGCAGATATTGAAAATCATTGGATTGATGACAATTTTTGAAAAAAATTGAAATTTTGACAAGAATTTTATTAAAATATTTAAAATATAATTGAATTTCTAAAAAGAATTTTATTACTTTTCAAAATAATTGAAATTTTTACGAGAATTTAATAAAAATTTTTAACATAATTGAATTTTTGCGAAGAATTTTATTACTTTTGAAAATAATTGAATTTCTACAATCATTTATAACTTCTCCAAAATCCATTTTTTTTTAGTAATTTTAACTAAAATTCTTGTATAAGTCCATTATTTTTAATAATTAATGAAATATATTAAAAAATTTTGCTAATTTCAGAAGAATTTCAATTATGTATTTTTTCAAAAATCTAAGTTCTTTAAAATTTCTAATGAAATTTATTCAAAATTAAATTTTTTTTAAAATTTAAAATTAAAACCTTTTGAAGTTTATTTATTTATAAAATTTGTAAACGCAACTCTTTAAAAATTCAATTAATTTTGAAATATTTAAGTAAAATTATTCATTAAATAGTTAATAACTAATAATTTTATAATATTTCTTCAAGAATTAAGTCAAAGAATGAAGAATTTAATTTTCAACAATTTAAACAATTAAAAGTTACATTTAATAGTAATGTATAATAAATTATAATTGAGTGAACTATTAAAAAAATTGTCTACATTAAAAAAAATTGTCTACATTTAAAAAAAAATTGTCTACATTAAAAAAATTATCTGCATTAAAAAAAAATTATCTAAATTTCGAAAAAAAAATGTAATTCGCTAAAATGACATTAGTTATAATAACAGTTCTAAATAATACAGTAATGCTTGTCATTAAACACTGCGCAAAAGTTGTAATGTTTAAAAGATCTTATCCCTAACTACTCTTGTGCGAGAAGATTTACAATCTACAGCTCAGTGAAAGAAAATTGGCATAAAATATAATTGACCATATGGCACACTTAGAGATATAATTTAAATCATTTAGTTATTATTTTTATACGTTAAAGAAAAAAAAATACTTCTGTTTAATAATATTTAGAAATTTAAAATTTTCAACTTTGCGAACGCCTGACAACGGTTCATTTTATCTCAAACTTTGTATATATATTTAAGCTTTATAGCATTGTTCCACTTTTATGAAAGAGGAACGCGAGAGGCGATATTATCAACCTAACAACTATTCTTCAAGACATTTGATTATAATTTTATTTCTAGGCTAATAGAAAAAGCTATTAGTCTATATCATTCTCTCTAAAGAAAAAAAAAAGTTTTGCAGAAAAATAAACATTTCATTTTGATTGCAATAAAATATTCAGTACACGGTAAAAAATAAGCTTCACCTGCAGAAGAGAAATAAGTTTCTCTGGAATTGCAAAAGTTTTAACTAAAACAACTAAAAATTTAGCTAATATAATGAAACTTGTATCTGTTTCAAACCAAACTTTATTTCCGTGTTAAAAAAATTTCTCTAAAAAAATATTTTTCTTAAATTTCTGGTTTAATTATATTTTCGAAAAATTTTTACGTAACATCAAACATCGGAGAAATGAATCGGAAATTAGGAAATGAGGAAGAAACTTTCTCAAAGTGGAATAATTAAATAGCCGTAAAATGCTTATGAGTGGAACAAATAATATACTACTTGAAGTTCACTAGTGCGGCACTAGTTTATAGACAATGACTTAAATGGATAGAATCAACTCATCTTTTGTATCAAGCATCCGTAAATCCGTTGAGAGTGCTTTTAATTTATATCAGAGAAAATAAAGTGGGAATATTTTATGAACCATTTATCAAGAATCTTGATAAATTGCAATTGTTTTTACACATTCATTTATGTTCCAAAAGTTCTGAAAGTTCAAATAAAAAAAATATGGTATTGTTGACAAAATTTAAAGCCAAAAAGCTTTACGAAAACCATGCTAAATTTAATGCATTAATCAATTCTCTATTTAGCAGAAATACTCCATTGACTCCATTCCGAATCAAATAAGAGAACATTTTACTTAAAACTAGAAATTAAATTTTTCATAAATATAAAAAAAGTTTTAATTTTTTTTTTAAATTTTAATTTTAATAAAAAAATTTTTTCATAAACAATATAAAACATAAAGATATCCGAGTCATTGACTCGGAGTCATCGATTTCTTCATGTTTTATAATAATTAAAAATGACCGAGTGATAAAATCATTATCAATTCGATTAATATTTTCAAGAATTTTTAATTAAAATTCTTCTTTAAATTGATTATTTTTAATAATTTTCGAAAAGGTCTTTGACAATTTTCAAATCCATTTGTTTACAATATTCAATTTTACGAAATTTCAATTATTCGTAAATTCTTCAATTAAATCAATATTAGAAAATAAAAACTTAAAATAATATTAAAAAAATTCAATTAAACTTTTTCAAAAAAATTAATTTCAAAATTCAATTATTTCTAAAAATTCACGCTATATTTTTGCTTTTAATATTTTATTATTATCTAAAATTTTAACTAAAATTCATTTTTATTAAATGAAAATCAATTTTTATTAGAAACTTCTACGAGAATTCAATTATTTAAACACAAAAATAACAAATTTATTGAATAATTGAATTTTTATAAAGAATTTTATAAACGAATTTTTAAATAATTGAAATCTTTTGACAAATTATAATAAAATTTTTAAAAATAATTACATTTTTCGAGGAATTCGATTAAACTTCTATTAAAAATAATTGAAATTTTGCCATGAGTTTGACTATTTATGAAAATAATTGAATTCCTAAAAAGAATTTTATTATTTATGAAAATAATTGAATTTCCAATAAGAATGTTATTATTTATGAAAATAATTGAATCCCTGTCAAAAGAATTTAATTATTTATGAAAATAATTGAATTATTGCGAAAAAATTTGTAAATTGAATTTCTGTTGAAATTTTGCTAATCATTTAATTAAAAATAATTGAAATTTTTCGATAATAATTTAATTCCAGTGGGAATTTTATTATTTATAAAAATAATTCAATGATTGCGAAGAAATTTATAAAAAAAATTTGTAAATAATAAAATTCCTGTGAAGTTTTTATTACTTTTTTAAAAATTATTAAAAATTTTTTTGGAAATAATCGAATTTTCTCGAAAACTTTTGTTATTTTTTTTAAAATAATTGAATTTCTTCAAAGAATTTTATTTTTTAGGAAAATAATCGAATTTTTTATTTCTAACAATAATTGTATTGTTTTGAAGAATTATTTTCATAACTAAATTCTTCGGAGAAATTCAATTATTTTCAATACAATTTTAAACAATTTTCTTAATGAATTTAAATTGTTTTTAAATATTTTAATAAAATTCCTTGCAAGAATTGAATTATTTTAAAAATTTTGATACAACTCTTATTTAAAAGAATTCAATTATTTTCAATTCAATTTTAATTAAATTCCTCGAAAGAATTTAAATTTTCTTCGAAACAATATTGAATTTGTATTTTTCAAATTTTATCATTCTTTTAATATTTTTTTATTTTATTATTTTCATAAATAATAAACTGCTTCGTAGGAATTCAATTATTACCAATATAATTTTCATAAAATTTTTCCCTAGTTTTGAATTATTTTAATAAATTTTGAAAAAATTTGTTTATTCGAATTGAACTATTTTCATAAGTTATAAAATTCTTGGAATGAATTAAATTATTTTAAATGCAATTTTAATACAACTCCTTAATTGAATTCAATTATTTTTAAAAATATTAATTTTATTCTTGTCCATCATTCAATTATTTTCATAAATAACAAATAATAATTTGAATTGGAATTGAATATAAATTTATGAATTTGTTACATTAAATTGAATTATAGAAATTGAAATTGAAATTGAAATTGAAATTGAAAATTGAAAATTGAAAAATTCAATTGAAAAATTAAATTGAATTACAAATTCTCTTCGAAGAATTCTATTATTTTCAATACAATTTCAATAAATTCTCTTAATAATTATTATTATTTAAGTTTCTAAATGTTTAATTTAGGTTCTTAATTTTTATTATGAACGAAATATTTTTCATTGAAAATATTTTCAAAAATTATTGATTGCAATAAAAATTAAAAAATTAAATTTTTATTTAGAAACCTTATTTAATTAATTTTCTTTCGTGACTTAAAATTATTGTAATAAAATTTTAATTTATTTGTTGAGAAAATAAATAAATATTTCGTTCATTTGAACGTTCAAAACTTTCGGAGCTTTAATTTTTAATTGACAGTTTATCAGAATTTGATAGAAATAGAATGAATATAATTGCATAATTATAATTATGTTAATTATAATTAATTTTTTTTCTATCACCTCTTTTCCGAGCGCGTAAAAAAATAATGAAAGACTCACCTTGGTTCTCCATTTCGTTCAAGATGACCGACATTTCCACTGAGAGTCTCGATTTCCTGTGTCCTTTTTTCCATGTGCACACCTTTCTTTTCTCTGGCTGAAGATACTCCTCTCACTGTATTGAGACTGACACCAGTATCATTTGATCTAATACTCTCCACCGAATCCGAGGATTTACCAGCCGATGACTTTAATGAGACACCACTACCCTGATTACGAATCTTCTCAACACTATTATTCACACTTGAATTGTTTTCCACGTTAGTCACTGAATTTGTCACTAATCCCGGTGCGTTCGACATTATTTGGACACTTATCGGATCACTATTTTTACTTTCAGTCTTCTGATGTTCAGGCGCCTGAACATTTGCCTCCAAACGTTTATTTGAAGACTTATTAACTTCATTGACAATTTCCACATCGCCTTTAGTTCTCTCTTTTGTATTTTCCACATTTTTCTCTCCAGATTTGTCATTTAATTTTGATTTTGAATCACTTGTTGATGTTGTTGTGGTTGTTGTTGCTGCTGTCACTGATGTTACATTTGTTACTTTGACTGACGATGATTGAGATTCATTAAGAGGTTCATTTGGATTTTTTCCAGCAGTCTTCATTGTATTTTTTGCCACATTTTCCGATGAATTAGCGCCCAACATCACGACATCGTCTGGCGTTGTATTTTTACTATCTGGAGTTGTTGTCGAAGTGCTCAATGTTGTGGATGCCGGTGGTTTACTATTGAGATTCGTTTCTTGAACTGCAATAATTAATATTTTATTATTAACATAATTTAACGAAATTTGTAAAAGAATTAAAATTTTTTTAAATTAATCATATCAACTTCAATTTTTGAATGATTTCAAATTCAAAATTTTTAAAAATCACTTATTAAGTAATTATTTATTTTTTTCAACAATTTTAAAAATATTCTTCGAAAGAATTCAATTATTTTCATAAATTATATAATTCTTCGCGGGAATTAATTTGTTAATACAATTTAAATGAAATTTTTCTAAAGAATAAAATTATTTTCAAAAATTTTAATAAAATTCAACGCAAGAATTGAATTATTTTCATAAATACTAAAATTCTTCGGAGAAATTCAACTATTTCCAATGCAATTTAAATAAAATTTCTTGATAGAATTCATTTATGTCTAAAATTTTTTTAAAAATTCATTGACAGAATGAATTTTAATATTTTTTTCAAGAATTTTAATAAAATTCTTTAGAAAAATTCAATTATTTTCACTACAAATGAAATAAAGTTCTTCAAAAGAATTCAATTATTTTTTTAAGTTATAAAATTCTTCGGTAGAATTCATTTATTTTTAATACGATTTTAATTAAATTACTTGATAGAATTCAATTTTTTAAAAAAAATTTTAATTCTTTCAAAGAATTCAATATTTTTAAAAAATTTAATTAGAATTCATTAGAAAAAATCAATTATTTTTTAAAAAATTGTTTATTATATTTAAATTATTTTCAATATATTTATCATTAAATTTCTTTAAAGAATTTAATTATTTTCAAGAATTTTAATTAAATTATTCCAGAAAATTCAAATATTTTAAGAAATTGTAATAAAATTCTTCGCAAAAATTGAATTATTTTTATAAATTATTAAATTCTTCAGAGGAATTAATTTTTTTAAAAAATAATTTACCTAAATAAAATTTCTCTAAAGAATTTAATTATTTTAAAAACTTTTAAAAAAATTCAATCTAAGAATTGAATTATTTTTTTAAAAATTTGTAATTTAATTTCCTGAAAGAATTTATTTATTTTCAAAAATTTTAATGAAATTCTTTAAAACAATTCAATTAAAAAATTTTAATAAAATTCTTGCCAAGAATTGAATTACATATTTTCATAAATAATAAAATTCTTCTGGGAAATTCAATCAATTTCAGTACAATTTTATTTAAATTTCTTGAAAGAATTGAATTTAAAAAAAATTTCATAAAATTCTTTAGAAGAATTTAATCTATTTCAATACAATTTTAATTAAATTTCTTGAAAGAATTCAATTATTTAAAAAAATTTTATGAAAATGTCCATTATTTTCAGTACAATTTTAATTGAATTCCTCGGATTAAATTAAAATTTTTAATTCAAAACAATTTTGTTTAATTAATTTTTGTTGTTTTAATATTTAAAATCATCAAATTAGAATTTCATTAATTTAAAAATTCAAAACATTTAAAAACAAAAATATCAAAAAAAAATTAGGAAACAAAAAAGGAAATAAAAATAAAATTATATATAATAATCGTCGTGATTCCAGATTTCCGGATCTCTGTCCACACTTGAAGTTAGTTATAGTTATTCTTTTGTTTATTATACGTTTTGATAGAAAATAGAAATATACATATACATATACATACATTATAATAATCGTAAGTTTCCTTTCCGTTAGCAAATTATCTGCATTCATTTGTTTATTTTGAAAATTTAATTTTGTGGGTTAAGTATTGGCATTTTTTATATATTTTTTAATGTCAAACTTTTTAATGTGGAAAATACTTTACTTATTAAATTGTCTCGACTCTTTGGTAAAAAATCTAAAATTATCGAAAATTATCAAAAATTCAAAAATCCGATTTTCTTAAAATTTAACATTTTTTCTTCTCTTTTACGGGATTTAGCTTCATTATTTTTGTGCTTTTGGAAAATACTTTACTTATTAAATTGTATCGACTCTTTGGTAAAAAATCTAAAATTATCGAAAATTATCAAAAATTCAAAAATCCGATTTTCTTAAAATTCAACATTTTTTCTTCTCTTTTACAGGATTTAGCTTCATTATTTTTGTGCTTTTGGAAAATACTTTACTTATTTAATAGTCTCGACTCTTTGGTAAAAAATCTAAAATTATCAAAAATTCGAAAAAATTCAAAAATCCGATTTTATTAAAATTCAACATTTTTTCCTCTCTTTTATGGGAATTAGCTTCATTATTTTTGTGCTTTTGGAAAATACTTTACTTATTAAATTGTCTCGACTCTTTGGTAAAAAATGTGAAATTATCGAAAATTATCCAAAATTCAAAAATCCGAATTTCTTAAAATTCAACATTTTTTCCTCTCTTTTATAGGAATTAGCTTCATTATTTTTGTGCTTTTGGAAAATACTTTACTTATTAAATTGTCTCGACTCTTTGGTAAAAAATCTAAAATTATCAAAAATTCGAAAAAATTCAAAAATCCGATTTTCTTAAAATTCAACATTTTTTCTTCTCTTTTATGGGATTTAGCTTCATTATTTTTGTGCTTTTGGAAAATACTTTACTTATTTAATAGTCTCGACTCTTTGGTAAAAAATCTAAAATTATCGAAAATTATCAAAAATTCAAAAATCCGATTTTCTTAAAATTCAACATTTTTTCTTCTCTTTTACGGGATTTAGCTTCATTATTTTTGTGCTTTTGGAAAATACTTTACTTATTTAATAGTCTCGACTCTTTGGTAAAAAATCTAAAATTATCAAAAATTCGAAAAAATTCAAAAATCCGATTTTATTAAAATTCAACATTTTTTCCTCTCTTTTATGGGATTTAGCTTCATTATTTTTGTGCTTTTGGAAAATACTTTACTTATTAAATTGTCTCGACTCTTTGGTAACAAATCTAAAATTATCGAAAATTATCAAAAATTCAAAAATCCGATTTTCTTAAAATTCAACATTTTTTCTTCTCTTTTATGGGATTTAGCTTCATTATTTTTGTGCTTTTGGAAAATACTTTACTTATTTAATAGTCTCGACTCTTTGGTAAAAAATCAAAAATTATTAAAAATTCGAAAAAAATTCAAAAATCCGATTTTCTTAAAATTCAACATTTTTTCCTCTCTTTTATGGGATTTAGCTTCATTATTTTTGTGCTTTTAAAAAATACTTTACTTATTAAATTATCTCGACTCCTTAGTAAAAAATCTAAAATTATCAAAAATTCGAAAAAATTCAAGAATCCGATTTTCTTAAAATTCAACATTTTTTCCTCTCTTTTATGGGATTTAGCTTCATTATTTTTGTGCTTTTGGAAAATACTTTACTTATTAAATTGTCTCGACTCCTTAGTAAAAAATCTAAAATTATCAAAAATTCGAAAAAATTCAAAAATCCGATTTTCTTAAAATTCAACATTTTTTCTTCTCTTTTATGGGATTTAGCTTCATTATTTTTGTGCTTTTGGAAAATACTTTACTTATTTAATAGTCTCGACTCTTTGGTAAAAAATCTAAAATTATCGAAAATTATCAAAAATTCAAAAATCCGATTTTCTTAAAATTCAACATTTTTTCTTCTCTTTTACGGGATTTAGCTTCATTATTTTTGTGCTTTTGGAAAATACTTTACTTATTTAATAGTCTCGACTCTTTGGTAAAAAATCTAAAATTATCAAAAATTCGAAAAAATTCAAAAATCCGATTTTCTTAAAATTCAACATTTTTTCTTCTCTTTTACGGGATTTAGCTTCATTATTTTTGTGCTTTTGGAAAATACTTTACTTATTTAATAGTCTCGACTCTTTGGTAAAAAATCTAAAATTATCAAAAATTCGAAAAAATTCAAAAATCCGATTTTCTTAAAATTCAACATTTTTTCTTCTCTTTTATGGGATTTAGCTTCATTATTTTTGTGCTTTTGGAAAATACTTTACTTATTTAATAGTCTCGACTCTTTGGTAAAAAATCTAAAATTATCGAAAATTATCAAAAATTCAAAAATCCGATTTTCTTAAAATTCAACATTTTTTCTTCTCTTTTACGGGATTTAGCTTCATTATTTTTGTGCTTTTGGAAAATACTTTACTTATTTAATAGTCTCGACTCTTTGGTAAAAAATCTAAAATTATCAAAAATTCGAAAAAATTCAAAAATCCGATTTTATTAAAATTCAACATTTTTTCCTCTCTTTTATGGGAATTAGCTTCATTATTTTTGTGCTTTTGGAAAATACTTTACTTATTAAATTGTCTCGACTCTTTGGTAAAAAATGTGAAATTATCGAAAATTATCCAAAATTCAAAAATCCGAATTTCTTAAAATTCAACATTTTTTCCTCTCTTTTATAGGAATTAGCTTCATTATTTTTGTGCTTTTGGAAAATACTTTACTTATTAAATTGTCTCGACTCTTTGGTAAAAAATCTAAAATTATCAAAAATTCGAAAAAATTCAAAAATCCGATTTTCTTAAAATTCAACATTTTTTCTTCTCTTTTATGGGATTTAGCTTCATTATTTTTGTGCTTTTGGAAAATACTTTACTTATTTAATAGTCTCGACTCTTTGGTAAAAAATCTAAAATTATCGAAAATTATCAAAAATTCAAAAATCCGATTTTCTTAAAATTCAACATTTTTTCTTCTCTTTTACGGGATTTAGCTTCATTATTTTTGTGCTTTTGGAAAATACTTTACTTATTTAATAGTCTCGACTCTTTGGTAAAAAATCTAAAATTATCAAAAATTCGAAAAAATTCAAAAATCCGATTTTATTAAAATTCAACATTTTTTCCTCTCTTTTATGGGATTTAGCTTCATTATTTTTGTGCTTTTGGAAAATACTTTACTTATTAAATTGTCTCGACTCTTTGGTAACAAATCTAAAATTATCGAAAATTATCAAAAATTCAAAAATCCGATTTTCTTAAAATTCAACATTTTTTCTTCTCTTTTATGGGATTTAGCTTCATTATTTTTGTGCTTTTGGAAAATACTTTACTTATTTAATAGTCTCGACTCTTTGGTAAAAAATCAAAAATTATTAAAAATTCGAAAAAAATTCAAAAATCCGATTTTCTTAAAATTCAACATTTTTTCCTCTCTTTTATGGGATTTAGCTTCATTATTTTTGTGCTTTTAAAAAATACTTTACTTATTAAATTATCTCGACTCCTTAGTAAAAAATCTAAAATTATCAAAAATTCGAAAAAATTCAAGAATCCGATTTTCTTAAAATTCAACATTTTTTCCTCTCTTTTATGGGATTTAGCTTCATTATTTTTGTGCTTTTGGAAAATACTTTACTTATTAAATTGTCTCGACTCCTTAGTAAAAAATCTAAAATTATCAAAAATTCGAAAAAATTCAAAAATCCGATTTTCTTAAAATTCAACATTTTTTCTTCTCTTTTATGGGATTTAGCTTCATTATTTTTGTGCTTTTGGAAAATACTTTACTTATTTAATAGTCTCGACTCTTTGGTAAAAAATCTAAAATTATCGAAAATTATCAAAAATTCAAAAATCCGATTTTCTTAAAATTCAACATTTTTTCTTCTCTTTTACGGGATTTAGCTTCATTATTTTTGTGCTTTTGGAAAATACTTTACTTATTTAATAGTCTCGACTCTTTGGTAAAAAATCTAAAATTATCAAAAATTCGAAAAAATTCAAAAATCCGATTTTCTTAAAATTCAACATTTTTTCTTCTCTTTTACGGGATTTAGCTTCATTATTTTTGTGCTTTTGGAAAATACTTTACTTATTTAATAGTCTCGACTCTTTGGTAAAAAATCTAAAATTATCAAAAATTCGAAAAAATTCAAAAATCCGATTTTCTTAAAATTCAACATTTTTTCTTCTCTTTTATGGGATTTAGCTTCATTATTTTTGTGCTTTTGGAAAATACTTTACTTATTTAATAGTCTCGACTCTTTGGTAAAAAATCTAAAATTATCGAAAATTATCAAAAATTCAAAAATCCGATTTTCTTAAAATTCAACATTTTTTCTTCTCTTTTACGGGATTTAGCTTCATTATTTTTGTGCTTTTGGAAAATACTTTACTTATTTAATAGTCTCGACTCTTTGGTAAAAAATCTAAAATTATCAAAAATTCGAAAAAATTCAAAAATCCGATTTTATTAAAATTCAACATTTTTTCCTCTCTTTTATGGGAATTAGCTTCATTATTTTTGTGCTTTTGGAAAATACTTTACTTATTAAATTGTCTCGACTCTTTGGTAACAAATCTAAAATTATCGAAAATTATCAAAAATTCAAAAATCCGATTTTCTTAAAATTCAACATTTTTTCTTCTCTTTTATGGGATTTAGCTTCATTATTTTTGTGCTTTTGGAAAATACTTTACTTATTTAATAGTCTCGACTCTTTGGTAAAAAATCTAAAATTATCAAAAATTCGAAAAAATTCAAAAATCCGATTTTCTTAAAATTCAACATTTTTTCTTCTCTTTTATGGGATTTAGCTTCATTATTTTTGTGCTTTTGGAAAATACTTTACTTATTAAATTGTCTCGACTCTTTGGAAAAAAATAAAAAATTGTTAAAAATTATCAAAAATCCGAAAAATTGAATTTCTTAAAATTCAACATTTTTTTTCTCTTTTATACCATTTAGCTTTATTATTATTTGAATTTTTATTCAAGAGAAAAAATGGAAAACTGAAAAAATTTAGAATTTTTTAAAAATTACAGGCCTTTTCCATGATTTCCCTGATTTCCAGAAGCCTTTTAAAAATTCCATACCATTTCCATGATTTCCATGATTTCTAGATTCTGTAGGAACTCTGCTTTTGTCTGACTTTCTTCTAAATTTTCGAATTCAGTGATTTCTGGGGTGAATTTGGTTAAGTTGTAAAATGATTAATTTCTATTTGAATTTTTTTTTTTTGAATGTAGAAAATCTGATGTTAATTTAATTCTTTTTTCGTTATGCACGGCAAAAAATATTTAGCTGGATGAACTACAGATTTCACTTTAGTAGCGAAATTATTTAGTGCTTCAATTAATACTTTCGTTATTCTAGAGAAACTTATCGCTATTTCAAGTAAAACTTTTTTCAGTGTGTAATAATTATTATTTCTTTAAAAAGTATTTAATTTAAAATGGCTTTATAAAATAAGCAATTCAAAAGATGACCCAGATACTAATTGTAATTGTTCTAGCTATAGTTTAAGTCTAGTAATGTAAATTCTATTTAAATTGAGACCATTGAGTGAAATTATTTGAATTTTAGTTAGTTAAATCTCTTTGTTAGGTTATAATAATTATTTCTTTAAAATTTTTTAAATTGTTTAAAATAAGCAGCTCCATATAACATTCCCGCGCGCTTGCGCGCGGATAGTTTGGCTAGTATATTATAAAATACGAAAGGCTTAACATAATTAAATGTGTAAATTAGTTTTAAAAAATTTGTAATTAATGAATTAATTAGTGACTAGTGAATTAGTTAAAAAATGTGAGTAATTAATTGACAAAATAAATATTTTTTTTGTGATTTTTGATTTCTTACCTTGAGCAGTCTTTTGATCAGCAATCTTGGAACTTGAAGAACTTTCAACTGTTTTACTCTTCTCCTTCGCCTCTCCATCTTTTTTCGCAGGAATTTCACTCTTTTTTTGATTTCCATTGCTTGTAATTTTAGCAGATATTTCTTTTGATTCAGAATTTATGGCAGTCGCGTCAATTTGTAAAGGTTGAACGGCAGTTGTCGTTGTTGTATTAACGACACTTGACGTACCAGTTGCGCCCGAACTTTGTTTTAATAATTCAGCTAATTTTAAATCATTCTCTAAAATTTTCACAGCCTCTTGAACAACAGACGGTTTCTTCTCCAATTTCTTGATAACTTTCTCGAAATTCTTATTTTTTGGTACTTGTAAATTCAAAGTTTTCCCATCCTGTTTGCCCTCCTGCTTTTTCACTGGTTTCGGTTGAATTTTCTTTCCCTTGTCAATTATTTTCTCGAGTGATTTCGCTGGTTTTGTGGTAGGTGCTGCTGATGGTGGAATTGAGGTTTTATTGGAGGACAATGATTGTGTGGAGGCTGATTTATTCGTTATCGAGCCACGCCTCAATGGTATTTTCGACGGTGATGTGAGTATCTCAGTACTGGAAGATTTCTGTTTATCGGAAGATTTATTCGATTTGCTGACAATTTTTGGCGGTAGCAAAGAATTTCTTCGGACTTTTTGCGGCGATGTTCTTTGATTTTGTATTTGTTGGGGGCGTGTTTTGGGAATAAAAATTGATTTCTCCGGTGATTTTTCCCTTGGTTTCGTTGGCGTTCCTTGAATTGGCGATAGTCCCGGTCGTTTTAACGATTGACGACGATTATTATTTATCACGTTATTCGTTGTTACTATCACGTTATCTTTTGATATTGCTCGTCGTCCAAATTTTGGTGATGATTTCTTTTCATTTTGCTTTGTCAATGATATGGAACGACTTCGAGTCGGTTGGGGGATTTGACTTCGCTTTGGACTGCATTGTTGGGAAACTGAAACTGAATCAAAATTAAATTACTTTTAATAAATTTCAGGGCTTAAACTAGATCCGTAAATCAAGTAAAGCTCCGTAAATTTGCTTGAAGTCCATAAAAGTCAGTTTTTTTTAAAAAAAGGTCCGTAAAGTCCGTAATTTCATTGAAAAAAGAAAGAAAAGTTCTTTGAGAATTTTCAAATTTTGTTTACATTTTTTTACAATTCAATTTTACGACATTTCGATTATTCGGAAGTTATATTCAATTAAATAATAGAAAATAAAACCTTGAAATTATTTTTGAAAAGAGAGTAAATTTAGTTGGAAAAATGTATTGAAAATTACCTCGTCTGTCGAATCTGCCACTGCTTCTTCTGCGTTTGAAATGATTAGGACTCTCGGGTCGAGATTGGGCATGCGGTAAAGGTCCTTTGAATCCTCGACCTCGGAAAGGAGAGACCCTTCCTGTTGCTAAACATGGAGGTGAAGGACTTCTGGAATCCGGAGTAATTGGTCGAGTCTCTGCAATTATCACGAAACTTGATCGTCGATGAGCTCGAGTGTAAGAGGAGCATGGCGGTACGATTTTGTAGGGTTCGGGTGCACGTGGTGGTGGTGGCGATGGTGGTGACGGTGATAAAAGGCAGTGTTCTCCTCCAGATAAAACTCGAAAGGGCGGTTGACCCGTTCGAGGTCCATGATTATCCGGATCTATCCTCCTCATAGTAAAACCCTCTTTCCTTTCACGTTGCTCTCATCTTGGAAAAACGACAATTATCACAATTCAGAACATTGGCATTTTTTTACAAATCAAATATTTTTAATATTTTTTGAAAAAGTTCTTTGAGAATTTTCAAATCCATTTGTTTACAATTCAATTTTACGAAATTCCAATTCTTCGAAAATTCTTCAATTAAATATTCATTAGAAAATAAAAACTTCAAAAGATTTCAAAACAAAATCCAATTAAACTTTTTCAAAAAAATTAATTTTACAGAATTGTTAGTTAAAAGTATGAAAAATTCAGATTTTCAAATATTTTAATTTGAAACCTTTTCAAAATTCAATTATTTCCAAAAATTCACACTTTAATGATTTTAATGTTCAATTATTATCTAAAATTTGAACTAACATTTATTTTCAAATCAATTTCTATTAAAAAATTCTACGAGAATTCAATTATTTAAATACAAAAATAAAGAATTTGTTGAATTGTTGAATGTCTCTTAAAATTGAATACTTTTCGACAAATTTTAATAAAAAATTTTAAGAATAATTGCACTTTACGAGGAATTTATTTAAAACTTTATTAAAAAGAATTGCAATTCTACGATGAGTTTAATTATTTATAAAAAATAGTTTAATTGCTAAAGAGAATTTTATTATTTATGAAAATAATTGAATCCTTAAAAAGAATTTTAATACTTTTAAAAATAATTGAATTCTTGTGATGAATATTGTTATTTATGAAAATAATTGAATTTTGCAAAGAATTTTATTAAATTTCCTGAAAATAATTGAATTTCTGGGAAGAATTTTAATACCTTTTGAAAATAATTGAATTCTTGTGATGAATGTTATTATTTTTCAAAATAATTGAATTTTGCAAAGAATTCTTTTAAATTGCAGAAAATAATTGAATTTCTGGGAAGAATTTTGTTATTTATCAAGGTAATTGAATTCTTTCGAAGATTTCCGTTAAAACTTTTGAAATAATTAAATATAATTTTGAAAATTCAACTAATTTCAAAAGAGATGGAATTTAAATTTTTCAAAAAAAAAATTAGTTCTATAGAATTATTTATTAAAAATATGTAAAATTCATATTTTCCAAAAATTTGAATTTTGAGACATTTTCAAAATTCAATTATTTCTAAAAATTACTATTATTTCTAATTTCACCAAAATTCAATTATTTTCTTCGAGTTTTTAACTAAAATTCTTCTCTAAATCAAATTTATTGAGTAATTAAATGTTTCTCAAAATTGAATTCTCATAAATAATTTTATCAATTAATTTTCTAAATAATTGAATTCTTTCGACAAATTTTAATAAAATTTTTATGAATAATTACTATGAGTTTTATTATTTATAAAAATAATTGAAATATTGTGAAGAAATTTATAAAAAATTTGTAAGTAATTGAATTCCTGTGAAACGTTCATTGTTTATTGTTTTTTTTTATAAAAATAATGAAATATTTGCGTAGAATTTTATTAAAATTTTTTCTAAATAATTAAATCCTTTTGAAAAATTTTATTAAAATTGTATAGATATTAAAAATCATTAAATTGAGTAGAATTTTTAAAAATAATTGAAATTTTGCCAAGAATTTAATTAAAATTTTTGAAAATAAATAATTGAATTTCGGAGAAGAATTTTATTATTTATAAAAATAATTGAAAGTTTGTCGGAAATTTTTTTAAATTTTGGAATATAATTGAATTTTTGAGAAGAATTTTATTACTTTTGAAAATAATTGAATTTCTGGAATCATTTGTAACTTCTCCAAAATTTAATTCTTTTTAATATTTTTAACTAAAATTCTTCTGTAAATCTATTATTTTTAATAATTAATTAAAAGACACTAAAATTCATAATTTTCTTTTGAATTCTAAAAATTTAATTTTTTCCAGTTCTTTTAATAAAAGTCCCTGACTTTTCCCTGATTTCCCAGACCAATTCTACTTTCCCTGATTTTTTCCCGAATTCCCTGACCTTTGGCAATCCTGTTGAAATGATTCAAATAATTATCTCTCACTACATATGAAATGATTTCGTTACGAAAAGATATAATTTTTGCAGACTAATGAAAACTGATGAGATGAATTTGGATGTGAATTTTTTTCTCTCTAAAACCAATGACTGAATTTTTTTCTGATAATTGTCACTGAAGTAATTACTCACTCCCGTTGTTCACCGCTATCCTTCCCATGGGAACAACGCATGTTATTCACGCTCTCATACACGAGAGCATCGAACTCACATCATCTAGGATGTTGCGGTGCATTGTGGACTACATTTCAATGTCTCTTGATTTTCCTATTCCTATGGTGTGCCGTATAATTTCATTCCTCGCGATTCTGCAAAAAGAAAAAAAAAGAATACAATTTTTTACTTTTCATCACTCAATTCAATTTTTTCTTCACTATTCACAAGAAATATTTTTTTGAAACTCTCAACAAATATGTATAAATTTAACAATTATATTTAAACTCTCAATAAATATTTTTAAACTCTCAACAATTATTTAGATTGTCAAAAATTGTTTAGACTGTCAACAATTATTTAGACTCTCAACAAATAATTTTTTTTAGTAAAACAACAAAATTCAGTTCTCATTTTTCCGAAGGATATCAAATTGAGACAAAAATAAATTAAAAATGTTGCTTCGCAACACTTTTTAATTTATTTTTGTCTCAATTTGATATCCTTCGGAAAGTTGTGTTCTAATACAAAGAGATAAATGTTAAAGCGGCAAGTTTCAGTATCCACGTGTACAATTAAGCGATAAAAAGGAAACAGTTACAGGTTTTTAAATGCGGATTAAGGAGCAATAGTCATCTGGTTTATGTAAAATGTACCGTAGATAATGATTGAAGTGTTAGGTTCATAAAATGTTTTTCCACCGTAAATTGTCATATATACGGAAGTAATTTTTGCTCATCATATCGGTCGTGTTGGTGAATCGACGGTAATTAGGTGAGGAGAGCGTGAAGGAAATTCACCTCTTCCCCAACCATATAATTTCACATGAAACTGCGTCCGATTAGCGTTCTTACCATCATCAGATGTTTACCGGGGCATAACATAAATGACAAGAAATCCGGCTATTATCACCTTTATATTCCTTTTTCTGTAAACTCCTCTTTAATGCACACTATTAACTCCACGAATAACATATTTTCATTGCAAAGCAATAACCTTTCACTGTAAATACACTTTATTTCAAACAAACTTTAATTAGTCGACTATCAACGTCTGATTAGTATTTATAAATCCCCTTCTTCAAAAAAAAAAAAATATCTCGAATTAAATGACAATCAATTTTTCAATTAATATTAATTTCACATAAAACTAATACAGTCAACTCTCGATAATTAAACTTGAGATAAATTCACTCAGTTTCACAATAAATTGAATTTCTATTCCCTTCAAGAAATTTTGATACTAAAAAAATTAATAAAATCCTCGATAATCAAAATTTTTTTTCTTCCTCTCTTGCATTCCTTAGATTCAAGTTATCGAGACTCGACTGTATTATTATCAATATTAATGTTAAATAAATGTTTTCTAATTGTAAATAAAAAAAAACGAAACAAGAAAAAATTCGCTTATTCGTGAAACGAAGCGAAAATTTGAATTTCAAAATCCAAGGAGGGGATTTTTGTTAAATTTTCCCAAATTCAAAATGTCAATGTCTAATTTTGGGGATATTTAATGCAGATAAGACATTAAATGTCCCGTATCACGTGATGCGTTGATTGATAGAGAACTTTGAAAATGGCCTCGTACCAAAAAGGTTGATTCAATGTTCTCGTGGACAATATAAACAGAAATTTATAGCAATTGTTTATCAGGAATTATTTGACAAGTCGTATGACATAAATGTGCACGGTAAATTTTCACTGGACCTTCAAAATTCACGGACAGTGTCAATTAATAATCGATCCCAAAATTTTTACAATTAAAATTTACAATCATATTCAAATAGTGCTATGGTTGAACATTTCTCTCGATAAATTATTTTATTCAATTTTTTAAACAATTGCAAAATATAATAATTAAATGATAAAATATTATTAATAAAGCATTTTTATTAATAAGAAAATATTATTGATAATAACATAATATATTAATGATAAAACATTATTTATAATTATAACAAAATATTATTTAAATAAAGCATTATTAATAAGAAAATATTTTTGATAATAAAATATTATTGATAATAAAATATAATTGATAATAAAATATTAATAATAAAATATTATTTATGACCAAATATTATTTATAAAGCATAATTAATAACAAAATATTTTTGATAATAAAATATTAATAATAAAACATTTTTTATGACCTAAAATATGATTTATAAAGCACTATTAATAAGCAAATATTATTGATAATAAAATATAATTAATAAACTATTATTTATAACAAAATATTTTTGATAATAAAATATTAATAATAAAACATTATTTATAACATAATATTATTTATAAAGCACTATTAAAAACAAAATATTATTAACAAAACATTATTAATAAAAAAATATTATTGATAATAAAATATTATTAATTATAAAATATTATTAAAAATAATAAATGATGAATATCAACAGAAAATTAAAGTTCAAGAAGTGTTTGATAATACTGAAATAATTGAATATCAATTAAATCTAAAAAATTGAAAAATAAATTTCCAACTTAATTACAAGAAGAAAATGTCAACCGTGACATCTTTATTAGCAGAGAAAATAATTTTAAAGTTATTAAAGCACAATGAAAATTTAATCGCATGATCTTTTCTTTAATAGAAAGAAAAAGAAATATTTTATTAAAAACGACAATGTCAAAACTTTCAACATATTTCATTTGTCTCTAATTGTAAAATATAGATTTTTAGTTTCATCGAAATTAAAAAATAGAAAAAGTAAAACACTAAAAAAAAACTCGTTTTTTTTAAGTTGTAATAATAATGAAAGAAAATTGTGCGTTAAACCTTGACTTTTGATGTATTTGAATATCAAACTATACTATAAATTCAAATTATAAGGTGCTTTCATTCCAGAAGAAAATTACAGAAATTTCCATTTCGACGGGAATATTATTTTGATTCGTATACCTTGTCAGGGTCGTAAAAAGAAAATCAGATAACAAAAGAGAAAACATTATAAAATCTAATTCTAAAAATTGTTACATCTATACAAAAATAGATAATTATGCAATTATTCCGTTTATTAAAAAAATGCGATTTTCTTTCCGACAACTTTTTTTTCCACTTTATGGAAATAAAGTACTTTAAGGAATAAAATACTTTATGAGAAAAAATAATTTAGGGAATAAAATACTTTGTGGAATAAAATACTTTATGAAAGAAATATTTTAGGGAATAAAATACTTTGTGGAATAAAATACTCTATGAAAGAAATTATTTTATGAAATAAAATACTTTATGCAATAGAATACTTCATAGAAAAATATTTTTTAATCTTTAGAAGAAAGTATTAATTTTTTTCCTATTAAAAAAAACCTGATTTAAGTACAGAAAACGATTATTCTTAAATTTTTAGTTATTACAAATAAAAATTAAATTCTTTTTCCTCACAAGCCTCATAAAAAAATATTTTCTTTTTTATGAGGCTTGTGAGGAAAAACGATTTAATTTTCAAAAATAACTATCATGAGAAAATAGAGAAATCCAATTATTTTTAATTTCAAATATAGACTAATTTCCTGACGATGATGATGATAATATCAAATAATTAAACTTTATGGTCATCAAATATTGAGGAAATTTTTATTATAAGTAATTGTTGCCACTTTTTTTTCGTAATTAATTAAGTAAAGCCCTCGCGAGTGAAAAATAATTTCTAAATTTTATAACCAACGCAGCAATTAATAGAGTGTAATAAAGTCAATTAAACACTTACCTAATGCTATTGTGTGTATATGTATATAAATATAAAATGCGGTATTTATTAATTAGTATAAAGAAGAGTCAAGTAACTCTTTCTAATTATCGCTCGCGCACGGTGCGAAGGAGAGTTTTGCGGAAAAGGTGTTATTTCAAATTATGTATTTCTTTTTACGTCTCTTTTAAGTCCCCTGAACAAAAAAAAAAAAAAAATTACATTGGTTCACTAACTATACGCTTTCTCAATAGTGATGTAATTTTTTCTTTAACACTAGGTATACAAATAAAAGAATTATATTTTAAAAATTTATTGTTTTTTTTCACCCTTACGTGTCTCGGGAATATATGAAAGATCAATAGGAGTGGAAAAGTGTTTTACGTTTTTGCACTATACAAGTGAATATTATTAGCAAAACTAACGATCTCTTTTCTAATTTTGTATCCTCGCAAAATAATATTGAGGGTTTAAAAAAAATATAAAATTTCCATTTTTATATTTTTGAGTCCAAAAAAAATGGTCAATTACGAAACAATTATTTTCTATTCTATTATCATTTAAATTTTTGAATTATTATTATTATTATTATTATTATTATTATTATTATTATTATTATTATTATTATTATTATTATTTATTATTATTATTATTATTATTATTATTATCATTATTATCACTATTATTGTATTATTATATTAATATTATTATTATTTTATTATCATTGTTATTGTGAAGACAACGAATAAATTTCGAAATATATTTAATTAATAATTAGAGTTGTTATTTTGCTATTTGAAGTACTTAAATAATAATAATTATAATAATTAATAATAATAATTAATGATTAATAAATAATTCATAATTCATAATTTTATTATCACTAGTTTCAATAAAATTAATACGCGATTAAATTTTGTATTCTCAATTTTTCCTATGTTCGTCTTGTAAAGAAGTTTTAGCCCATTTTCATTATACAAAATAAGAGAATAAATAATTTGAATCAAAAATTAAATAAAATATTATGAAAAATATAAAAATATTATAAAATTAAAATACATGAAAATATAATAAATAATAAAAAAAAATTGAATAAAATGTTACGAAATTAATTTAAATATAATAAAAAATTTAAAAAATTGAATTAGAAATTAATTACAAAATAAATTTAAATAGAAATGTAATTAAAAAAAATTAATCTAAATACTTTTCAATATTTTTGATTATTTAAATTATTCAAATATAACAAAAAAGAGAAAATGCAAATAGTTAAAATATAAATATTATGATCAGTAAATATTTGAGAAATTCAAAAACATTCTTATTTCGAACAAAATACGCTCGATCTCATTAAAAGATAATTATTCTCCCTCATTGGAATAGAACGGCGGGCAACACGTGCTTATATGAAAAACTAAATCAAGTACATAAAAATTATAAAACAAGACT